CTGCCCCAGCCCCAGGTACCCACTCACTGTCCCGGCTTCCGAAGGACTTGGCCCCCTTGCTCTGAGCAGTCACCCCGGGGCTGCCTGGGGGGCCCTCCTTGCGGGTGTGCGTGTGGGGGGTGCAGTGGCGGTTCCATGGGCGCCCGGGTCCACGCAGGGGCAGAAATGGCGTGAGAAGGGAAGGAGCCGTCTAACCGCCCCCTCCCACTCCCGCGCAGGCTCCCTGAAAACAAAAACAGGGCATGAAGACACACCAATAAGACGACACATTTGGTTGCTGGTTGCTTCTGTGTGCGGGGGCGGGGGGAGCGGGCGTGTGTGGGGGGACATATGAAGGGAACAATACAGACCCAAATGAGAGGGCCCGGCATAGACTCGCGATGAGAATGGGGGTCTCCTGCCGAAAACAAACAAAGCAAAAGGAAAAACTGAAAAACATAATATAAAACAAAGCAACTCCCCTAAAAAAAAAAAAAAAAAAAAAAAAAGGATGAAAGAAAGAAACACAATACCTGTCACAAGCCCTAAAACTAAAAAATAAAAATAAAAACCATACAAAAATCTCGTAGTGCGGTCCCTGCATGAGCCCTTTAAACCTCTCCACCCCTGCCTGGGGCGCTGGTCTGGGTTGTCAGGCCCAGTAGTAGACTCGCACTTTGGGGCTAAGGGCCTGCGACCGGCGGAGGCCCCAGGGCCGGGACTGCAGTCCGGTGCTCACTCCCACACAGCACTGCCCCGCCAGCCCCGTCGCCAAAACGCCTACCCGGCAGGGCCAGGCCTGCGGCCGGGCCGAGTCCCCGCAGGCCCAGTGGCTGCTGGAAATCCAAGAAGAAAGCGAGCGGACGCTGGGCGGCCCTGAGCCCAGACCTGGCTGCTGGAGAGGGGCGTCTGTCCCCACGGTCCGCTTCCAGCCGGAGCCCCCGAAACGCGGCCCCTTGTGTGGCGTCTCTAGAAGCGTCTGCGGGAGCTAGGGCTCCGCCGGGTGCGAGCCATTGTGCTGTGTGTACGTGTTCGGGTGCGTGCGTTTCTGGAGCGCGGGTCCCCGCTGCCTGCGGACTCTCGGAGGGGCCAGACCCCACTAAGGTCACTCCTCCCCCCCACATCCCCACGGCACAGGCCCGGGATTCAGGCGTCTCCCCCACGGCTCCCGGCCACCGGGCACATCCATCAAGCTCCCGGGGGAAAGCGTTTTTGCTGCTGGTGATGGGAGGGCAGCTAGTCTCTCTTCCAAGGGATTCTGCCATTATCCCGCCCTCCCGCTCCCGGACGCAGGGGTGCGGAGGGTGCATCTCGAATGTGGTTGGGAGACCGGTAGGGGCGGCGCCCAGCCCCGAGGGCCGCTTTGGATGAGCAGGGACTGGCGCCACGCATTGTTCATGAAAGTTGCTGGGTCGGGTGACGCTGATGGACCTTCCCGGCTCTATCAAGATCAGTTGAATGCGCGTCAAGATTAATCTGTGAAGCACGTAGGCGCGTCTGGGTTTGCAGGTACGAGCGTGGATTGTGCCGTAGCAGTGAGTTCGGGGTCAGACTTGTCGCGCCTCTTCTGCCCGCCGGGATCCCGGCTCCACCGAAAAGGCCAGTGCACGGCCAGGCCACTGCCCTGTGCTGTTAGAACCACAGCTTAGAGGCGGCCTGTTCCTTCCGGTCGCCTCCTGCCCGCGGTTGGTGTACCCTTTCCAAATATAAGACAAAAGGATTCCCCCATCCCCACCCGTCACCAGCCAGAGGGCAGTGCACGCGGAGGTGTGGAGCAGCCTTCGCCGCTCCGGGTGGAAGCCTGTGTTCGTGGTGGGATGTGCGGGGTGCTTGTTGTGCTTGCACACCTGTCATCACGGTGGCCGTGTTTGTGCCGGTGTGTGGCTTGAAGCAGCCTCCATTTTGAGGCAGGACATGCAGACTGTTCGGCCTCTCTGGCACCCTACCCTGTATTTGCAGAGGTAGCCGGAGGCTTGAGTCATTGGCCGTTTCGGCGCCCGCCAAGGGGATTGGGGAGGGGCGCACTGCGTGGTCTGCAAGATGGTGCTGATTCTCCTTGACCCAGGGGTTACTCACTTCCCAACACAGCCCAGCCCTTGGGCCCAGGGCCGGAAGGAGACCGGGGGTGGGACTGGGAGGAGAGAGTTGAATAGGGCCTTGGAAAACTGAGGTCCACCGCCCCACCCACCAGAAATGGTTTGTGGATCACCTCAGAGCTACTCCCTGCCTTCCTTCAACACATTTTATGGAGATGTTGCTGGGTGTTTGCAGTTTCACAGACATCGCCTCTGGTCCTTAGCAAGCCCTACAAGGTAAGGGCTGTGGGTTCCTTTCTACAGATGAGGAAACAGGTACAGAAAGACAAAGAAACTGGTTCACATTCAAAGAGCTGTAAGGCCAGTATGCTAAACCAACTCTGCTTAATCCTGGTACCATGGGACTCCCTCAACAGCTCTACTCCTCTGGGGTGGGCCCTCAGGTAGAGGCGTGCAGAGGGAAAAGGAGGAAGAAAGGACCCAGAGGGAGTGGGGCCCTTTCTTGGAGGCCTCACCGCAACAGCAACCCAGGGCTCCAGTGGCAAATGCCTCCCTTTCCTCTTTTAGGGGCTTCCTTCCAATGTATTTTAAGAGGATGTGTCCTCTGAGGTCAAGGGTAAAATGTACTTAAGGCCTATGGAAGGGACATTCACGCTGATGCCAAGGCACTGTGGACTTCTCCTTGAGAGCCGGATCCATTTCATTGATCAGAACTGCCACCCTGAACCATGGTGGGGCTGCAAGTGATGCAGGTGACCCTGGCTAGGAAGAATTAGTGGTAAATGATGATGCGGGCATTTCAGACCTTAAATGGGGAAGGGCAGAAGAATTTATGAGGGCCCCATTTGCCTTCATTTCTGTTAGGTACAGAAATATATTCTCTGTGCTTTATATTTAATATTTCCATTATATTTTACAAATGTAATGCCATAGCTGTGTGTGTACATATATTTATAAAAATACGCCCCCCTAAAGATGCACGCAGGCCACCCTACATACAATGGGAGTCCATTTCTGCCTGGCTGTGGGTTGCTCCCAGCTTGGGCAGCCCCACCCTACAGGGTGGAGGGTCACCTTTGACTCCCACCTTCTATGAATTTAAACATGGGGGCTATTTATCTGACACCTGTACACAAAATTTATTTGTTCTACACACAGAGTTAGTAGAGTGGAGGGGGTGGTATGTGGACACAGAACTCATAATTGTCCTGGCAGTAGGAAATGCCCATCCACATAGTGTGTGAGGTGATGAGTGTCACAGGTAGGGACTTGCGGTCTTACCCTGGAGATGTGTGGGCTTGGGGGACTGATTTCCCTATGTCTGGAAGCCTACAGATTTCCTTAATGGAACCAAACTACCAAACTGGCTGCACACGCTTTGCACTCAGGACACCCCACAGTCTATAGGATAGAATCTAATTTAATCCTAGGTGCCCAACAGGTGCACACACCTGCCGGAATTTGGGATGGTGTAATTCCCTTGACCCAACCCTGCCCTCAGAGTATAAGTGAGCGTCCAATCTCCCTCCCGGTGACCACGTCTGGCACCTGGAGTGTTTTCCAAAGCCAGAGTCCCTGCATCTGTGTTCAAGACAGTCATTAGTAGCCTTCATGTCGGGCTGCTTCCATGCTCTGCCCTGGTCCTATCCCCCATCCCCAGCCACACACACCCAGCAGCTGCAGGGGGGTTGTGCCCGACGGGCCAATGCGTCCCACTCGGCTTGTGAATCAGACAAACTGATCCCTGCGCTGGAGTGACGCGGAGTCAGTTTCACGTTGGTTCCCTTTCCCCTGGCGGAGACCGAGGAAATCAGCTCTAGCAGGTCGCCTCCAGAGGCCCCGCGGCTCTCAGGACAGGCGCTCGTGACGAAGAGGCAGGAAAGAGGCAGCGGGAAGAATCTGGGCGAGGGAGCCTGAGGAAGGAGCCGGGCAAGCCGTTGCCGCGTCTGGCCTCTTCCGGCGCTGGGTCTCCCGGTTCCAGGGCTCCGGGATGGCGGGGGCAAGAGACTTGAGGCTCTGGCCGCGGCCTGCGGACGGGCTGAGGGCCAGACCCCAGAGTCCCCTTTCTCCTCCCATCTCGTTGGGCGAGGCCCGGATCGAAGTGAAAGCGGAGCCCTCAGCTCTGCGTGAGGCTGGCCTTGGGGGCCTGGCGAGCCTCGGCCTCGCAGCGAGGAAGCCGGGCAGATCTGGGTACTCGGGCGCAGTCCAGACCCAGGCGCTTGCAGGAAGAGGGTGCTGGGAATGCGAGTCTGGCGCTGAGAAACGGCCGGGAAAGAAGAGAGGGCGAGGGGCGAGGGGAAAAGGGAAGGACGCCAAAGGCCAGGCCTCGAGAAGGCGGCGCCGAGTGCCGGCAGGACCCAGCAGCCGGGAGGGACTGGGAACCGAGAGAGCCAAGCAGACGCGGGCGAACGCCGGGCACGCCACCCTCCGCGTCCCGTGTCCTCCCGTGTCCCGCGAGCAACCAGTGCCGGTCCCAATGGCTGGGGATGGGAAACTAGGCTAAGCAGGAGGCGGGGAAGCACCCCAGCCACTGAGCTGAGCCCGGGCCTCTCCCTCCCGCGGTTGCCGACGCCGGTCCCTCCATGTCCTGTCCCCGAGAAGCGCTCGTGTCGCTTTTCTCTGCACCTGCCCTGCCCTGTGGGACGCTGGGTGGGACCCTGGCTCTCAGCATCCAGAACCCGCATATCTGCCCCCACCGCAGTAGCGGGCCGGGTGGGCCTAGGGTTAGGGGAAGGGCCCAAGAGGCTGAGAACTGTAAGGCGGAGAAACGGGGACTTCTACGGTCTCATTTGCTGCTTTGTCCCCTGCACTCAGCTCAGTGTCCAGCACACAATAGACGCTCAAAATAATACTTGCTGAATGAATAACTGAATGATGAGTGAATGAATATATAAATTGGGAGGTGGAGGCAGCAGGAAGGTCGGAGGCCCCAGTAGGGGTAGGGTGGGGGGTCCAGTGGAATTGAGCCGCGGGCTGTCCCCTTACCTCGCACCAGGATGCGGCGGCAGTGGTCCGTCTCGCCGGGCCCGGGCTGCCCGTCGCTGTCGGCGCCGCTCTCCCTGGAGCCCGCGGGGCTAGAGGCCGAGGTCCCGGCAATCTCCTTTGGGCTGCGGCCACCCCCATCAGCTTGCAAGTCCTCAGCTCCGCCGCGGTCCCTGCCGCGCCCACCGCCGCCACCAGACTCCGCCCGG